CTCGTGCATATCTCCTATGCACTTGCCCAGAATTTCTGTACGTTTTGTACCCAAGTGATATCGTCCTCACTTTCTTTTCTTTTTTTTAATATGAAATTTATTGTCCAATTGGTTTCCATACAACACCCAGTGCTCATCCCAACAGATGCCCTCCTCAATACCCATCACCACCCTCCCCTCCCTCCCACCCCCCATCAACCCTCAGTTTGTTCTCAGTTTTTAAGAGTCTCTTATGTTTTGGCTCCCTCCCTCTCTAACCTTTCTTTTTTCCTTCCCCTCCCCCATTGTCTTCAGTTAAGTTTCTCAGGATCCACATAAGAGTGAAAACTTTCAGCAGATGCTGCCATCTTGCTGGAAAAATACTCCAAAGTATTAAGAAAGGTGAAATGAAATGGGGTTGCTTATGCCAAGGCGTTTTAAAACAGCGCTGGGAGGCCCATCCCAGAGATGGGCCTTGTGCACATCCTCACTCGGTAGGACCATGAACTTTTGAACTGGGCCAAACCACAGATATTGCAAGAACTCAGCCGGCAACTTTCCATAGGGAGAGACTTTGCTTAGTGACAACCTTAACAACCAGTTCTGTTCAGCCAAGATATTCTGCCACCAACACCCACCAGAATCCTTTGTGAACAGCATCTACAAGCATTCCCTTTTTTCTTTCAAAATGCTTGACTTTTGTTCCCTGGGGTGGGGGGCACTATTTAGGTTGCCACAGTTCTGAGATTCCACAGAAATGCTTTTGCGGGGGGGTTGGATGCTGGAAGGGCTGAGCCGCCCAGGCGCCCCTCTGGGGTTTCTTTCTAATTACCATCAAATCACTCAGCTTCTTGGGGCCTCTACAGCGGCCATCGGTTCCACCCTTAAAGAGCCACTGTGAGAAGCAGTAGGTGCCTGACTAAGATGAACTGATAAAAGAAGCAATGTAATAATGAGAGACGTATTTGTGACGTGTTATTTCTCTGAAAGCCCGGTCCGTATCCAGGAATCCTGAGCCAACGCACTTCCCACGCGTGTCTGTGCTATAGGTAAATGTAGAGTGTATGAAATGAGTTGAAATAAGTTCGGTCTTCTCAAGTCAGGCCTTGTGCAAGCCCTTCCCACAGTAATTCAGAACACTCCAGAAGCAGGAAGGCACACCCCTAGGTGGACCGACTGGAGACAAGGTACGCCTGATCCTCACGCACGGATACTGACAAGAACCCATCTGAACCCCCTTGTACAGTTGCTTGGATGGCAGGAAGTGCAGCTTCAGAGAGTCCCTGAGGTCGTGGCCGGAGGACCTAGGAGTCACTGGCCAAGCTGCATTTTACAGCGGAGGAAGCCGAGAGGCCCCGACAGGGGAGAAATCACTTGCCGGGACAGAGTCAGGGTTCCAAGGCGGTGATCTTCCTACTTCACTATTGAACAAAGGAGGCCCAGGCGGAGTCCGACTTTGTGACCATCAGATCCCAGCTGGCCTCGGGTCCACTCACTCGGAGCCAGTAACCCAGTCAACTCAAATCACGTTTTATCCAAAATTGGGAAAGAAATTCGTCTGTAGTTCATGTTCACAAAGCTGGGTGCAAAGACAAGATAAGGGCAAGCCTCGGATACCCTCACTGGCTGACGGAGCTGAGTCCCAGGTCTGGAAGACACTGCCAGGGGCAGGTGAGAGCCGGACCTGATGGAGGCAGAAGGAACGGAGAGCGTGGGGGTTTTAGGCCTCAGAAGGGGTGCTTACAGAGCCTGGCACAGAGGAGGCAGGAAGGAGGGCCGAAATGGTCTTAAAAAGATTGTTTTAAAGTGTATTCATTTTTGAGACAGAGACAGAGCGTGAGCGGGGGAGGGGCAGTGAGAGAGGGAGACACAGAATCCGAAGCTGTCAGCACAGAGCCTGACATGGGGCTCGAACCCACGGACCACGAGATCATGACCTGAGCTGAAGTCGGACGCTCAACCGGCTGAGCCACGCGGGCGCCCCAGGAATGAAATGGTCTTAAAGAGGCAGAGGAAAAAAGGGGGTTCTTTTCAGAGTTGTGAGGAACTTATCAACAGCCGTTTAAAATGCATCCCTTTTACTTGAGTGGTGCTGCTAAACTCCGGGCTTGACTTTCCCTTTACCAAGTAAATGTACTCTGAAGTGCTCTGCACAGAGAGAGCAATCATTAATACCCCCACTTGACAGATGAGAACACTAAGCTGTAGAGAGGTGAGCTAATTTGCCCAAGGTGACACAGCTGGGTGGTGGCAGAGAGAAGTGTCCAGCCTGGCTCCTCTGACTCCATGAGATCTGGGGCCAGATCCCATGGCCTTTGATTGAGGATACTGGTGGCCTCAGCACACGTCAGGCCTAGGATGCTGGCAAAACCTTTATCCCGACCCTGAGTCGGCAGTTCTCTTTAATGCCACTGTGACTTTCAGAAAGCCAAACCCGGGCCTGGCCAGTGTGCAAATGAAGGCCTGTGCACTGCGTGTGTAAGAGCGGATAGTGAGGGTTTTCTGCTTTTTTAGGGATGCCCGACACTGCGTCCCCTGGAACAGCTGCCATTCGGATGCGTTTTCTGGGCTAGCTCTCTCTGCATCCTTTGCCAGCAGTCTGAGTCTGCTTCTCTTTATTTAGTTATCCATTTGTCCTTTTCCTGTGTCCTTGAAGCTTCTTCGCTCCACACAGACGGATGATCTGGAGCCAACAACTGAGTTGAAAATATCACAGAGGTTATATTAGAAGCGTGGGCCCCCGGTGGCCCTTTCCGCTGCACCTGTGAAGGAGCACAGCCACACCCTGCGTCCCTCCCATGCCCATCTCCGCTCCCCTCCCCACGAGGTGCCCGGGCGAGGACTTGCTTCTTCAGTCTCCTCTTGGCCCTTGGCACAAATGCTCGCTCCCTCCTCTGGTGATTTTCTATCATCTGATTCTCAGTCTCTACTTTCTGAGGGGGGAGAGCATGTTTTATTCATTCTGGTACTCCCAGCGCCTGAAAGCACCTTGCAAGTTGATGTTCAATAAATATTGAATGAATGAATGCATGCATGAATGAGTGACTAGATCAGAGCCATTAGCCTGCCTAGAGATAATTCCTTCACTGGCAAATTGTTGCTTTCTTACGGCTTTCGCCAGACTGCATCAGGCAACACTAAATTAATGTTTTCTCCAAGGGGAGGACTTCTAGCGTTTCCGTCTGGGGAAAAAAAAAATGATTTCGTGAGATTCATTTTTAATCCTCTGGCAGAATCATTTCAGTAACAAATGATAACTCATTCCACATGAAGGGATGGCTGCCTCCGTTCCAGGAGTGCAGAAACACAGCAGAATGAGAGCAGAGAGAGCAACTCAAAGGGTCAGAGGAATGGGGTTGGCCTGGGAGGGGTGACCAACCCCACAAAATTGGGAGAGCGGACTGACTGATTAGAGACATGCAAATCCGAAGCTGCCGGGAAGAATTAAGTCTGAAGAAAGAGCATCGTGGAGCAGGGATCCGGGGCAAGATGGCACCCAGGTTCAGGATCCCACCTCAGTGGGAGCTCTGACGCGTCCAGCCACCCTGAAAGGCAATGACGGACATCACCAAGACTCTTTCACGGAGGCTCCAACAAGCAGGGGCAACATGGTGCCCCCTTTCCTTCATCAGGAAAGGAACCCTGGTGACCCCCCTTCCAGAGAGGGCCAGCGCAAGCTCCCTGGAACTTCCAGAGAGGCTCTGGAAATAAGCGTTGAGAGTGCAATTACAGTGGAACCGTCATCAAACCCAAGCCCGTGGGATTCCTTTGAAATCCTTAACAGGCTGTTACAACACCTCTTAAGACACAAGGGCCACATCACCCTGAAGAAGCAAGTCTGGTTCTATTCGTTGCAGAGACAACAAGTTTATATC